CTCCCAACATTACCAGTAGCACTTCATATGGGTCCCTTGCTGTTATTCAAGGTATATGGTATTGCACTTAACACAATAAAATATACACTAGAACTAGGAGAGACCCCTTTTTACTGAGATATGCAAGTTATTGGCAAGATGAAATATTAATGTGGATATGATTAGTATCACATGAGGTATTTAAAAAAATCCACATCTAAGTACAGTTTAAACCTATCATGTTCAGGGATAAACTCCAGTTATGTTCAGATTTCAAAGGAATTATTTACAAAACCATCGGTTCAGGAGCACTGTAAAGGATGGAGTACTTGTGTGGCATTGTGGGTTAATGTGCTGAACTGCAAAGTTGATATGAAATGCAAGGTCAGTGGTTCAAGCTCCTTAGAATAACACAATTGACCCTGTACAGGTTCACTATAGGTCAGAACTGACTCGATGGCACTTAACAACATACAACAATAAAGTATAATGAAGTATGTTACAATTAACAGTATCCACTGTACTCCACTACCCCAGGTCCAAAGGACGTAGAGAGTACTCGAACTCAAACACCAGGGCCACATAGGTTAAGAAATATTAGAAGGAGCCTTGGACATCAGCATAAGAGTGAGGACACAACTTTTTAGAGAGAAAATTAAGGGAATAAGTGCTATAACTTCCCCCTTCCTCTGTCTCCTCTCTAATATCCTGCAGGGATGTCTCCATGGTCAAATCCAGTAGAAAATGAGAGGTTATAGAAACCATGATGTGATCTGACATTATGAGACACAGAGGAAGGAGATTATTATCCTGTAGGGGCAAATGGAAACTATTAGGCACATTTCCCTTAGAATTTGTCTCAGGGTGAATACAAAAAGCAAATCTCCAGAAATGAGGTGGGGGGAAGAAATTGTTCTTAATTTCCTATCACTGAGGTAAGTAGTATGAAAGAGACTGGCTCATAACTACCTCTACTGCAATATTCTGAAGAATGGTTAAGTGTTCCATCAATGTAATTTGTTACTATTCTCTTGGTGAGAAGAGGTGAAGTAGAGATGGACAGAGGTATATTAGAAATGTGTCTTGAAATGATCTCCCAATTCAATGGAGAACTGGAGTTTTCCCAATAGTGAACCCAAAGAAAGAACTTGGGGAAAGGAGCATCTTTTTACTTGGATGTGAATGTCAGTATATAAAGTTAATAATTTCCTCAAGACAAAAATTTCTAGGCGCATTTCATACTCTTATAATATCTAGACTTACTTTGTCACTTTAAAGGCACATCTACAGTTAATATTGGGTATATATTTGCTTCCTTTCAGGGACGAGGATTCTCAGTCTGACCTTAGGGCCATTCTTTATGGATTTGCAAAGTGAAGCCCTAAATGAAAAGATGAGTCTTTTCAGTTCTTTCTAAAGGTCACCATGTTGAAGTTCATAGTAACCTTTAATTTGTGAGTCCCAAGGTAGCAGAAACCCATGTAGTATAAACTGAGATTTCCTTTATTTTTCTATCTAGTATTAATCAATAAATTTCATATTTCAAATATACATATTTACAATCCAAAAAGAGTATGTGTATATGATAGTAGGGGGAAAAAACACTCAAGTGAGATCCTTTATCAGTCAAAAATCTGGGATGGAAAAATTTGCTACTTTGTTCTTATATTAATAATCCTTATGTTAACAAAACTTAGCATATATTTTTTTTGTTTCTAATTCACTTAGGTGCAGAGAATATAATATAGTATATTATATAGTTACGTAACAGCACTGTCTAGCAAATTGGCATGGTTAAAGTTATATTTCAGATCACGTAGGTGGTGTGCAATTGCTAAACAGTAAAATAAAATACCAAGAACAGAAAAGTGTTGATTTAACAAGGTTATTTAAAAAAATACAATGAACAAAATCCAGTCAAATAGCAAGAGACAATAATATCTAAAATATAACTCTCTATATTTTAGTAGATAAAAGTCTTTACCAATCAATCAGAAGATTTAAAAATAGAATAACACAATAAAAAAAAAAAAAGAAAGTTGTAAAAAGATGTTGACACGAAAATTATATATCAAATATGTCTGCATCTGTTTGCACCCTAGTCCTAATCACATAACTAGCATTGCTGGGGAAATAAATAGAAAATAAACATTATTATTATTATTATTTTTAGGATACATAACATCACCCTGCCTAATAATCAGAAAAAGCTAAATAGTATAAAAATTATGACTCTTTTGACCCCATTAGAGAGTTGAAAAAACAAATGGCTTAAGGTGAACTGTATTAAAGAATAACATGTATAAAGCAAAAAGAGGGAACAGTTTGGTTATAGGATTTCCAAATGAAAGGAAAATATTTTTTAAATAAGCAAATAAATAAAAATAAACCCAACTGTAATCCTAAAACTAGACAAAGCCTTACTTTGAGCTCTATCCCAACTATTACTCATACCCCTCACACTAACACTACTCCTAACACGGCCTGAAACCCCAGACCTAGTCTAGACCTAGCCATAGTTGTAATCCTAATCCTACCTCCTACACCCCCCCAAAGAAGTATAACATGTCCATCTAAAGAGACAGAGTTTAATAACAATTTTCACATAATTAGAATTTAAGAGGAAGAAATGACTCTTTAAAAATATCAAGAAAAAAAGCCAACAGCTATTGTTAATGGTTTATTAAATCTTATCAAAGGTTGCGTGGCAGTTATGAATCTCTAGTAGTCCCAATCACAGGAAACTCTGAATGCCTTTACCAGCTCTTTTAGGCCTCCATTGGCAGAGCACAAGACCTGAGAGAGGCTGTTGAGATGGTACACAGATATGAAAACTTTGGGCTTCTCAGGCTACCCTCACATGGCACACAAGTTAATAATCACAAGTAAAGGAACTGAAATGTTGTGTGCTGGGGCCAGGTATCTGTTCCACTACACAGTACCTCATCCAAAAGTAGGCTATAAATAGACATACTTTAAAAGAATAAATAAAAATAACCATGTGACTGAAGGGGATGATTGAATCAAAACAGAGCTACAATATTTTCAAACAAGTTTTGAAAATGTACGTATATAATATCAGGCAAGCAAATACAAGCTAAAACCAAAATGAAGCACTAACTTGCCTTAACTACTTGAATTGTTGTTGTTAAGTGCTGGCGAACCAGTTCAGACTCATAACTACCTTGTATAGAGTTTCCCAGCCTTTTAAAATCTTTGTGGGAACAGAAAGCTTATCTTAGTCCTGTGGAGCTGCTGGTGGGCTCAAGTGGTGGTTTTACTTACCCTCGGAAACCCTGTACAGGGTCGCTATGGGTCGGAACCGACTCGACGGCACTTAACAACAACAACAACTCTTTCACAGTCTAGTGTTTATCGTATGAGTTACTGAAAATAGAACTAGAAAAATCAACAAAAATTATGAAATACATATACATAAATACACTTAGTCTTATAAAATAATGTTTTTCAAGCTTTATTTTCTATTTGGGATCAGCGGAAGAGAACATTTAAGACTTGAAATGTGTTGGCATCTTGGTGTAATCTGAATTTGACCATTTGTTCCAGTATTTAAATTAATCCTTTAAAGGGTCTAGCCTGGCTTCTATATAACAAACTATCACTATGTAGATGAAAATGATACTATATGACTCTCTCCAATGATGAATTCACTTAAAGTTCTGTAAAATTTCCATATATAAAGTGACCATATTAGTGCCATACTCAAAACAATTAAGCAAAAACAATGCTCATAAAATTGCATGGAATGTATTTCTATTAAAGAATATACATATACTGTGCATGTAGAGGAGTGCTGGTGTGGTGCTGTGGGTTAATGCTCTGGACTGAAAAGTCATTTGAACTTTAAGGTCGGTGGCTCAAGTTCACCAGCCGCTCCTAGGAAACCCTATACAGGATAGCTAGGGATAGGAACAGACTCGATGGCGCTTAACAAGAACAACAACATACAGGCATACTCAGTGTGGCACTGCTGGTTAATGTGCTAGGCTGCAAGGTCAGTTTGAATCAAAAGGCCGGCGGTTCAACCTCACCAGCCATTCCAGCCATTCCTCAGAA